CTACAGGACGCCGAATGTGCAAAATCATAAGAGATCCACACCTAGACACATTATAATGAAGATGCCCAACATACAGAATAAGGAGAGAATTTTAAAAGCTACAAGAGAAAGGAAGCAGATTACATTTAGGGGTAAACCAATCAGGATAACAGCTGATCTTTCAACACAGACTCTGAAAGCTAGAAGATCCTGGAATAACATATTTCAAACACTGAAAGAAAATGGGTTCCAACCAAGAATTGTGTATCCAGAGAAATTAAGCTTCAGGATGGAAGATGAAATTAAAACCTTCCACGATAAACAAAAGTTTAAAGAATTCGCAGCTAGAAAACCATCTCTTCAAAACATCCTCGCCAAAGCATTACAGGAAGAGGAAATGGAAAATAACAATGAAAACCAACAGTGGGAGGTAGGACAGTAAAGGGGGGGAAAATAATCAAAGAGGAAAACAAACCATGTTTAGTAACAGAAATAAACAAATATGGCTGGAAGAACAACCCATATCTCAATAATAACCCTAAATGTTAATGGCTTAAACTAACCAATTAAGAGACACCGGCTAGTAGAATGGATCACAAAACAAGACCCAACAATATGCTGCCTACAGGAGACACATTTGATAGGAAAAGACATACATAGGCTGAAGGTGAAAGGTTGGGAAAAATCATATCACTCATATGGACTTCGGAAACAAGCAGGAGTGTCCATACTCATATCAAATAAAATAGATTTCAAGCCAAAGTTAATCAAAAGGGATAAAGAGGGACACTACATACTGCTTAAGGGAACCATACACCAACAAGACATAACAATCATAAATATTTATGCCCCAAACAATGGTGCAGCTATGTTCGTCAAACAAACTCTTCTCAAGTTCAAGAGTCTAATAGACCACCATACCATTATCATGGGAGACTTCAACACACCTCTCTCACCAATGGACAGATCTTCCAAACAAAAGTTGAATAAGGAAACTATAGAACTCAATAACACTATTAATAACCTAGACCTAATTGACATATATAGAGTATACCACCCAACATCAAGCAGTTACACTTTTTTCTCAGCAGCACATGGATCCTTCTCAAAAATAGATCATATATTATGTCACACGGCAACTCTTAGACAATATAAAGGAGTAGAGATAATACCATGCATCTTATCTGATCATAATGGAATGAAACTGAAAATCAACGATAAAAGAAGGAAGGAAAAAGCATACATCACTTGGAGAATGAACAATAGGTTACTGAATGATCAATGGGTTATAGAAGACATCAAGGAGGAAATTAAAAAATTCTTAGAGATAAATGAAAACACAGACACAACATATTGGAATCTATGGGACACATTGAAAGCAGTTCTAAGAGGAAAATTCATTGCTTGGAGTTCATTCCTTAAAAAAAGAAAAAAACCAACAAATAAATGATCTCATACTTCATCTCAAAATCCTAGAAAAAGAAGAGCAAAACAACAGCAAAAGAAGTAGAAGGCAAGAAATAATTAAAATCAGAGCTGAAATTAATGAAATCGAAACAAAAGAAACAATTGAAAAAATTGACAAAACTAAAAGTTGGTTCTTTGAAAAAATAAACAAAATCGACAGACCCTTAGCCATGCTAGCAAAGAGAAGAAGAGAGAGAACTCAAATTACTAGCATACGGGATGAAAAAGGCAATATCACAACAGACACTTCAGAAATACAGAAGATAATCAAAAACTATTTTGAATCCTTATACTCCAATAAATTAGAAGATAGTGAAGGCATAGATAAATTTCTTAAGTCATATGATCTGCCCAGATTGAGTCAGGAGGATATAGAAAACCTAAACAGACCAATATCAATCGAGGAAATAGAAGAAACCATAAAAAGACTACCAACTAAGAAAAGCCCAGGAACGGATGGGTATACAGCAGAATTTTACAAAACCTTTAAAGAAGAACTAATACCAATACTGTTCAAGCTACTTCAGGAACTAGAAAAGGAGGGAGAACTTCCAAATTCATTCTATGAGGCCAACATCACCCTGATTCCTAAACCAGACAAAGACACTTCAAAGAAAGAAAACTACAGACCAATATCTCTAATGAACCTAGATGCAAAAATCCTCAATAAAATTCTGGCGAATCGGATACAAAAACATATCAAAAAAATTGTACACCATGATCAAGTAGGATTCATCCCTGGGATGCAAGGCTGGTTCCATATACGGAAATCAATAAATGTTATTCACCACATCAATAGACTTAAAAATAAGAACCATATGATCATCTCGATAGATGCAGAAAAAGCATTCGACAAAGTACAGCATCCCTTTATGTTCAAAACTCTAGAAAAACTAGGGATAACAGGAACATACCTCAATATTGTAAAAGCAATCTATGCTAAGCCTCAGGCTAGCATCATTCTGAATGGAGAAAAATTGAAGGCATTCCCTCTAAAATCTGGAACAAGACAGGGATGCCCTCTCTCACCACTTCTGTTCAACATAGTTCTCGAAACACTGGCCAGAGCAATTAGACAGACGAAAGAAATTAAAGGCATAAAAATAGGAAAAGAAGAACTTAAATTATCACTATTTGCAGATGATATGATTCTATACCTAGCAGACCCAAAAGGCTCTACAAAGAAACTATTAGAGCTAATAAATGAATTCAGCAAAGTGGCAGGATTTAAAATCAACACGCATAAATCAAAGGCATTCCTGTATATCAGTGACAAATCCTCTGAAATGGAAGTGAGGACAACCACTCCATTCAAAATATCTTCAAAAAAAGATAAAATACTTGGGAATCAACCTAACAAAAGAGGTGAAAGACTTATACAATGAAAACTACAGAACCCTAAAGAGAGAAATAGAAGAAGATCTTAGAAGATGGAAAAATATACCCTGTTCATGGATAGGCAGAACTAACATCATCAAAATGGCCATATTACCAAAAGTTCTCTATAGGTTTAATGCAATGCCAATCAAAATCCCAACGGCATTTCTTGTAGAAATAGAGAAAGCAATCATGAAATTCATATGGAAAAATAAAAGACCCAGAATAGCAAAAACAATGCTAAGCAGGAAGTGTGAATCAGGCGGTATAGCGATACCAGACTTCAAACTATACTACAGAGCAATAGTAACAAAAACAGCATGGTACTGGTACCAAAACAGGCGGGTGGACCAATGGTACAGAATAGAGGACACAGAAACCAATCCACAAAACTACAACTATCTTGTATTTGATAAAGGGGCTAAAAGCATGCAATGGAGGAAGGATAGCATCTTCAACAAATGGTGCTGGGAAAACTGGAAATCCATATGCAACAAAATGAAACTGAATCCCTTTCTCTCGCCATGCACAAAAGTTAACTCAAAATGGATCAAGGAGCTTGATATCAAATCAGAGACACGGCATCTGATAGAAGAAAAAGTTGGCTACGATCTACATACTGTGGGGCCGGGCTCCAAATTCCTCAATAGGACACCCATAGCACAAGAGTTAATAACTAGAATCAACAAATGGGACTTACTCAAACTAAAAAGTTTTTTCTCAGCAAAAGAAACAATAAGAGAGGTAAATAGGGAGCCTACATCCTGGGAACAAATCTTTACTCCTCACACTTCAGATAGAGCCCTAATATCCAGAGTATACAAAGAACTCAAAAAATTAGACAATAAGATAACAAATAACCCAATCAACAAATGGGCCAAGGACCTGAACAGACACTTCTCAGAGGAGAACATACAATCAATCAACAAGTACATGAAAAAATGCTCAACATCTCTAGCTGTCAGAGAAATGCAAATCAAAACCACCCTAAGATACCATCTCACTCCAGTAAGATTGGCAGCCATTATGAAGTCAAACAACAACAAGTGCTGGCGAGGATGTGGGGAAAAGGGTACACTTGTACATTGCTGGTGGGACTGCAAATTGGTGCAGCCAATTTGGAGAGCAGTATGGAGATTTCTTGGAAAGCTGGGAATGGAACCACCATTTGACCCAGCTATTCCCCTTCTCGGTCTATTCCCTAAAGACCTAAAAAGAGCATGCTACAGGGACACTGCTACATCGATGTTCATAGCAGCACAGTTCACAATAGCAAGACTGTGGAACCAACCTAGATGCCCTTCAATAGACGAATGGATAAAAAAAATGTGGCATTTATACACAATGGAGTATTACTCTGCATTAGAAAATGACAAAATCATAGAATTTGCAGGGAAATGGATGGCATTAGAGCAGATTATGCTAAGTGAAGCTAGCCAATCCCTAAAAAACAAATGCCAAATGTCTTCTTTGATATAAGGAGAGTAACTAAGAACAGAGTAGGGATGAAGAGCATGAGAAGAAGATTAACATTGAGAGGTGGGAGGGAAAGGGAGAGAGAAGGGAAATTGCATGGAAATGGAAGGAGACCCTCAGGGTTATACAAAATTACATACAAGAGGAACTGAGGGGAAAGGGAAAAAAAATACAAGGGGGAGAAATGAATTACAGTAGAGGGGGTAGAGAGAGAAGAGGGGAGGGGAGGGGAGGGGAGGGGGGATAGTAGAGGATAGGAAAGGCAGCAGAATACAACAGACACTAGTATGGCAATATGTAAATCAATGGATGTGTAACTGATGTGATTCTGCAATCTGTATATGGGGTAAAAATGGGAGTTCATAACCCACTTGAATCAAAGTGTGAAATATGATATATCAAGAACTATGTAATATTTTGAACAACCAACAACAAAAATTTAAAAAAAAAGAATTATAATGCAAAAAAACAACAACAAAGTACATGTATAAAGGCATCAATTGGTGTGAATATCCTTTATATACAGAAATATGAAAAATTGTGCTCTGTATGTGTAATAAGAATTGTAATGCATTCCACTGCTGTCATGTATTTAAAAAAAATAAAATCAATAAAAGATAAAAAAAATCAAAAGAAAAAACAGAAAAAAAAGAAGAGACATAGAATTATATTATTTAAATATTCCCATAAATAATACTCACAGTATTAAGTAAAGCATCATATACAGCATTCACAAATTTAGCATTAATCCCAGAGTCTTCAATGGTATTAAATGAGGCAGCGGCATCTTTCTGCAAATTCAATTAAAGATTTAAGTTTATATAACACATTAAGAACCACTCTTGGTAATATTTGCACCATACTTTTCCTTGAAGTTTTCTATTTTGTGGTCTGATGATAAAAAGGAACTATTAGGGCAAAATTGCTGAAAATAAAAAACGAATACCTAAGAACTGTTTCAATAACTTTCTTTTTTTTTGAAAATCAAAGAACTGGGTCAAACTTTAACACTAGTACAAATAAATATGTAATACATATAATTTAAAAATCAATACATATATATGCTTGCTATAAAGTTGTTTAAATCAATATTGGGTAGAAAATGAGGTAATTCTGCCATATCTTTTTGGGAAAATTCAAAATTAATAATGAATTAAAAATGTGTTGTATGTATTATTACCTTAAATATAGCATTTAATCCAGGGAAAGAATCAAATATTGTGAGATAAAAATCATGTACTGTTTTCCAATCTCCTGATGACTTAGCTTTTTCTACATCTTCCCTAAAATGAAAACACATATTAATCATACATAGATAGAAATATTATTCAGATAGTCACAGCATTCCTTTTTACAAATGTGTGTCACCAAACATGCAATTTAAAATACTGAAATAGAATAAAAAAATCTGTTCCAGTTAGTTAACATAGTTTGTTAAGTTTCGCATTCATCTACTTTAAAAAATAGTTTATTCTTGACATGACCCTTTAATTAGTTACTCTCTTTCCTCTCCTTCATAATAAAATTTATGGAGGTTTTGTTTACACTCTGTGTCTCTGCTTTCTCATTCCCATCAAGTTTTTCAAATTATGCATTTTGGTTTTCTGAATAGTGACATATTTTATAACACTTTGCATAGTAGCTGAATTATTTTTTTAAATGATAACATTTTATTAGTTTATCACCATACTTATTTATTTTTGCCTATTTTGACTCCTATTCTCTTTCTTAAGTGTTTCCTTTCTTTTGCTACAACATATTTAACCGTAACCTGTTATCCTGTTATTCATACATTGGTTTTCACCTTCCACTTGAGACATCTAGTCTTCTATGTCTTCTTTCTTGGCTAATAGCTCATAATGATGCACAAGTTCAACTAATTTCTCACACAAAGAAGTTAAATAAAGTCCTGACATGCAGATGACAATACGTCTATATGTAAGAGTGAATTAAAACTTACTGAAAGTCTTTCATAGTTTTGGGCTGGGTAGGAAGGATAGGTTCTGTAAGGACTGGGGCCTTCATTTCAGATGATAATGTATCTATAGGGATACGCTGCTTTTGTCTAACATCAAGGCAAATTGGTGGTAGGTCTCTCACTGTGAAGTATAAGAAAGCATTCAATATTATTAGTTACAAAATCTTTCCATTAAAAAAATCCCAGGCTAATTCAACATGAACAGAAAGCAAACTATTTTGTATTGTATTCATTCTGGGATAATGTAACAGAAAAAACTATCAAAGTGAAGTGTACTTACTAAGTGAAGTATACATGGGCTTATCCCCACCCTCTTTCACAATAGCTATGAGGCCATACTTTACTTTGAGGTATGTAATTAATATAAAGCTTTTCCCTTTCTCCTTCCTCATCTAAAAGTTGTCTTTTAAGGAATACATTAGTGAGGCTCAACATTTAATGTTTATAGGCTTTTTAATATATGTCCTCTGCAATTCTTTGTTGGAGCATTAGCATTTTCTTATCAATTAGCATGACATTTTAAAACATTTTTTGGAAATATTTGACAATGTGCTGTTTGCCCTTTCCTTACATTTCATAACCTATTAATTGTAAAATAAAACAAATACAGAGAAAAAAAATCTCGAAACAAATGTTTGGCTTAATGAGTAATTATAAGGCATGCTAGGAAAGTGCTCCTTGCAGAACCACTGAGCTAAATCATTCCCAGCTGTTTTTCTATACCTTTTGGTTTATTTCTAATTTTAAAAAATATTTCTAATTCTTTCTTTTAATCTCTCCCCTTATCTCTGAGTTTTTTTTTTATAATTCTGATTTATGTTATTCTTTCAAGCATTATATCATATTCTTAATGTATTTTGGTGGATTTTGAAATAGGATTTTTCTTCCATTTTTGTGGCATGCATTTCCGTGTGCTTTTACTGTCTGAATGGCTGTTAACTTAGTTCCTTATTCACTTTATCATAATAAAATTTTGTAATTCAAAATTATATAATTTGACCATGATTCTTTCATTAATTTTTATTTGTAAACATTATTTCCAAACTTTAAGAACCAGGTTTACCTTTTTTTTTTTAAATATAGAATTCAAATATATAATGGCTTTGCTCTCTGAGATTTCCATACCCTATGTCCCTCCTTCTACTTTCATTCAGGTATCTTCCTTCTTTAAACTCCATTGTCCTTGTGCTGCTCAAAATTTATTCTAAGCTCTGTATGGGACCCTAACTGGAAGGAAGCACTAGTTAGTCTGGAGAATTATCACGGGTTTCACTGCTTCCTTTAGACCTCAGCATGAGACTTCTGCATTCTCCTGCTCTTGACAAAATGATGTCTGGTTTCAGCCTTTGTTCTCAAATCATTCTCCTGAACTTCCCAGTGGATGTCTTTCATTTATTCTAAAGCTTTCCTGTTTTAAGGTCCACCAAAACACAGCGCTTGTGCTTTCTTCTGATGCCTCCTGCCCAGATGGTAACACATGGAAAACTTAAGAGTTTTGGTGATTGTCCTTCTTATCTTTTAGGGTTTATGTGGACATTTTATCAGCTAATTTTGATGTAAATGATGCCCATGATTTTAAATGAAGCAACCCAACACAGGAAGTTATTTATTTCATGAATTTTCCTTCCTTTATTTCATACTGAAAACATTAAAGGCTATGACTTAAGTATAGCTTTATTCCATAAATTATGATGCAGCATTCTTATAGCTGTTATTTCTGAAAACTTCAGGTTTAATTTATTTAACCTTAGATTAAGAATCTATTAAAACATTTTAAAACCACTATCCTCAAATTTCTTTTATTAATTCTAGTTTTTTGGCATTTCAATTGAGAAAATAAACCACAAACTACTCTATTTTGTGAAATTTTGTTTTTAAAACTCTTCTATTTGAAAGTTACAAAATTAGCCTCAGAAAATCATCATAATTAATGAGAAAATATTATAATCATTCCCTTTTAAACAAGACGAAGAAAATAAATAAATAATGCTAGGCCTGATGGCACACACCTATAATCCTAGCAACTCAGGAGGGTAGCATGTTAAAGGCTAGCCTCAGCAATTTAACAAGACCCTATCTCGAAATAAAAAATAAAAAGGACTTGGGATGTGACTTAGGTTTAATTGTCACTGGGTTCAATCTCCAGTATTAAAAAAAAAAAAAAAAAAAAGAAAAGAAAAAGCATACAATCAGCACTTTCATTCAATACTGCTCTGGAGATCCAAGTTTGCACATAAAAAATATATTAGAGACACAGGATTAGAAAAGAGGAAATAACACTGTCACTTGCAAATGATCTGTTATAGACACAGGCAAATCCAAAAGAATCTACAGACACATAATTTGAAGTAGCAAAGTAGGGAGATTTAAAAAAAATCCACAAAATCAATTGCACTTCTAAATACCAGCAACAAACAAGTAGAAAACATAATTTAAAAGAAAAAATGTAAATTCAGGGGCATAATTCTGAGCTCTTTGTACTAAGTACTAATGAATGGAGTATTACTCAACCATAAAGAACGACATATGGCATTTGCCAAGCAAATGGACAGAACTAGAGACTATCATGCTAAGTGAAATAAGCCAGTTCCAACAAGTCAAAGGTTGAATGTTTTCTCTGATTTGTGGAAGCTGACCCAAAATAAGGGATGAGGGGTAAAATAAACAAAGAGAGAAAGGAAAAAAGGGGAGAGGAATTTCATCTAAATAGAGGAAAGATCAGTATAATAGATGAAGGGAATTGAGGGGGAAGAACATGGAATAAATCTGACCAAACTTTTGTATGTACATGTACGGATGTGGCACAGTGGGGACTAGCATTGGGTATATTCACAGAGACAGAGATAGAGAGAAAGAGAGAGAGAGAGATACTGACTTATGGAAAGAAGGGAGGAGGGGAGTAAGAGTTGGCAGGGAAGTGCTGGAGGCTGAATTGGAGCAGGTTGTATTCCAAACTTTTGTGATAATGTCAGGATATATCCTGGTGTTATATATAACTAAAATCAGTAATTTTTTTAAAAATGTAAGCTCTCTAGAAACAAAATGAAATTGTGTTGAGAGATTAAAGACCTAAGTAAATGGCTAGAAATACTATCATAAAGAAGTCACTTTTCCTTGCAATTACAGATTCTATGCAATTCAATAAAAATCACAGTCTATTTTATAACTTGATAAACTGATTCTAAAAGTTATATGGAAGACAAAAGGAGCAAGAATAACCCATGTTGTTTCTAAAGAAAAGGAAAAATAAAAAGAAGAGGTAAAAAAGAGAGAGGGGATCTTGTTCCACCAGATATCCAAACTTTTGAAGTTTACTCAGACTGTGTTTGACTAATACAGGCTCAGGTACATCAACTAATGGAACAAAGAACTCAAGAGTCATATCCAGACATACATGAAACTTCAATATATTAAATATATGGCAGATTACTGAAAAAAAAGAAAAAAAGAACCCCAAAATATGGAAAACATCAAGGAAACAAAATAAAGTCACATTCTGACTCTGGCCAAATGTATGAAGTTTTTAGTCATTCTATCTTTTCCGCCCTATTCTCTTTTTCCTCTATTTCTGGTACTCTAATGATAGGAATGTAATATTTTTTGTTATATTACCACAAGTCCCTGAAACTCTCTTCATTTTTTTCTTAGTCTACTTTCTTTCTGCTCTTTAAAATTTGCTAATTTCTAGTCTTCTATCTTCCAATTCTGTCCTCTCCACTCTACTGTTGAGTCTATCCACTAAGTTTTTTACTTTGTTTTATTGTATTTTCTCAATACTTCTAAATCAATAGAACAGATCAATATTTTACAGAGTTGAAATTCTACAATAATGAAATGCACATTTATAGAACTTAATTCTACTCTAACATAATCAGGATATATTTTTAACTAAGTTAGTACAGCTATATCAATAATCATAGCACAGTAACATTGCTATAAGGTCTTCCTTTCTTCCTTCCTCTCCTTCCCATTTAGAGTGTCTATTTTAGATTTATCATCAACTTTAATAGGCAAAAAAATTAGTGTTTGGGTATGTTTTAAGGCTAACTTTTATATCAGAAGATAGTTTAGAGATGCCAATTTTTCATATACAACAGAAATAGTTTTCAAACTTTACTGTATCTCAGAATTGTCTAGAAAGCTTGTTAAAACAAAGATTACTAGGACCTCTCCAGAGTTTATGTTAGTTAAGTAGGTCTGGGTTGGGGCATAAGAATTTGATTTATAACATGCTCCCAGGTGATGCTCTTGCTGGTGAATCTGGAGACTATAGTGAGAAACACTGTTCAATAGTTTTAGATGAGAGGACAATGATGCCAACAATACAGAATAGATTATTAAATTTCCTTAATTATGTTTTAATTAACTAATTAATTTGATGCTGGAGATTAAACCAAGGGCTGTGCACATGCTAAGCAAGCACAGTACCACTGATTTATATCACCAACCCTTTTCATTTAATTTTGAGAAAATTAAAGGATGGCCTTGAATTAGCCATTTTCCTGTCTAAGCTTCCTCAGTAGCTGATTATGTTTTACAACAGGTCTTAATTATGCTTTATAATTGATTTTTTGTCCTTTACTAAATATGGAAATATTAGAATTTATATTATAAGCATAAATTGAATACAGTTGAATTTATCCACAAATGTTATCTTATGGATTATATATAGAAATTTTATTAATAGGAAAGAAAAGGGTATTTTAGCAGGAAAGAAATAAAGGGATAGTTGTTTTCCACTTTAATACCAGTCTTGTCATTGTTAACTCTATGGCTCCTCTACAGTTTTTCTTCCTCTTTCCTATCCCTTCCCACATACCTTTCCCAACCTAGCTATAAACACCCACTATTAGATACAAACAGACTTATTCAAATATAAATTAACTTATTAACTCACTGAGCACATATACACATTTTTATACCCACACATTTTTATTAATACCATGCTGAAGTAGAAGAAGAGTGAAATCTGAATTAGTAAGAGAAGAAGATTTTGGCAGAGTCTGAATGGGGAGATTCTTATATAAGAGAAAGAATAATGCCAAGATCTGGAGAATTATATTGTGAGGTTAGGACCAGAGACCTAGATGGGATCTATTTTTGGTGCAAAAGGTAACTTGG